GGCCTCGTCACTTACCTAAGAACGATACCTGACACGACCACGGGACTGCCTGTGATGGTCGCCCCTACAGTGCCTACACCTCCCCCGCTCGCGCCTTCCCCGGAACCTCCCGTGAAACCAAGTGAGCAAAACGCAATAATGGAGCTTACCCGAACGTTAGTTAGCCTGATGCAAGAGAGCAAGAAGAAACATCATGAACACAATGCCCGAATAGAGTCTATGATGAGATCGATGCGCCCTATTGTTGTTCGAGTTGCACCCATGACGCAGACCGCGGCTCCCGCTCCGGCGGTGGGCAACGCGGTGGCTAATCTAGGCATTTGCTACACGTGTTACCAGCCCGGTCACCTAGCCAGGGACTGCCCCAACCGACCAACCCAAGTACAGGTAGGGGTTGCCCCTGTGGCAGCAGCACCAATAGCCAACGGGCCAGGAAGAGTAGGCACGATGATCGAAGAAACGGAGGGAGGGGGAATCACGATGGTTACCACCGAGGAAGCGACGAAACTCTGGAGACTGTCCCCCGGATAAATGAAATTTGGTGGCTATACCTTCGTTATAGGAAAAATCGATGTCCTGAACATCGCCCGAGCTCTGGATCATCGGATCCCCCTGCCCATCGGACATCTACTGTCCATATCAGAATAGGTAAATGAGTGAATGCCGCAGCATTGCAAGGCCAACCGGAAACGGTTTGCCCTCACAAGACAGACAACATCAAATGGAAAGCCCCCACCTGTAAAAACAAACTTGATGTCCCCAACACCTCGGACCCGATACGGTTAGGACTCATTCAGAAAGATGATCATTTCCTTCGCATTAAGACCATTACGTGGAACTCCGCGGAATGTGACATAGAAGTTTGGGGAAATCCGTACATCACTATTGTCGATTCAGGTGCCGCGGTCCTAGCCATTTCCTTAAGGGTTGTAAAACGAGCAGGAAGAAGAAAGGATCTTATTCGAACGTTGCATTTCAATTGGGAAAAGTTTGAGGAAACGGATGAAAGGGAAAAAGAACCGGAGCTATCAAGTAGCTCCTCCGAAGGCGAGAATGAAACGGACCCCGAGATTTGGGGTATGGTGCACCAACTGATTCATCATCCCGTGCGACAGAAAACATCGAAAACATTCGTTCTTATTGAATGGAACCTCCAGTGGACGCGAGCCTTAGTCCTAGGGGAGCCGCTCGTCGAAGTGTCTCGAATGGCTGATTCTTCGGAACCCCCTCGGACCCTATACAAGGCCACCACCCCGCTTCTCTTGAGATACAATAACAAGAAAGCGTTCTGTAACATTTTGGGATTGCCTCGTTTTCTGCTCTCTACAGGGAGAGAGGTCCGATTGCTACAACAAGGTGCTGAGGACGGAACTTTGGAACCCCCTGGGCGTGGCAACCCATACGAACTCGGAATCAGGATCGCGGAAAAAACAGTTAGTTTGCAAGATATCAACGAGGGGGTAACATCAGAAGAGCACATGACAATCCGGGAAGCAGACACCCAGATGGTCGTCACGGTGTTTTCCTGGCGATCGGACAATTCGTTCATCTCCGCTCCTCCGCCAGGGAACGATAGTAAAAGGGGTACGAAACAGATGATAGTTAACATACACAAACAACTCTATGAGCTACATGTGCCCCAGTACGTGCCCGATGAAACACATCAACTAATCGCAGATATCCTAACCGAATATCAAGGAGCGATTAGCGTCAAAGACACGGAAATCGGGTTATCATTAGTTATTCAACACGAAATCCAAACCGGAACGCACCCCCCAACTGTGTGTCCGAGATTGGATTTAACGCGGGTTTCTCGTTGAAAAATTCAAAGCACGTTGAATTCACGTTAAACTCCCGTTCAAACGCGAGTTGGAATGGAATTAACGGGGTCCGGGATGATGTTTTTCGTGGGCTAAAACTTATCCAAAAAACAAATAAAATATATGGGGTTGTAGGTTTTGTTGAGGACTACAACCCTGTATTTTTATTTTTATTTTTTGATACTTAAATCTATTTTTAAAAAATCAAAAACATAAACACACAATGAAAAAACAAAAACGAAAATGAAATGAGTGTTTTTGTTTTGGGTTTCACACAGATTTTTTAAGGGCTAAAACGAAAACAAAAAAAAACAAAAAAAATATAGGGTTGTAGATATTTCAAAGATGTACAACAAGTTATTTTTTATTTTATTTTTTTGGAAATTCATGTATTTAAAAAAAATCAAAACCATAAAAAGCAAATTGAAAAAAGGAAAAAAAGACACATACACACACAAAATTGGGCCTGTAGCAGGTTGCATGAGTCTGGTGTCAGTTGGTTGAGGGAACCCAGGTCCTGGGCCGCCTGTATGAATGAATGGAAAGCAGGCCCTGGGCTGGATACGGGTACTGGGCCAAACACAGGCCAAAGGCAGTTGGGGGCATGCAACCACCTCAGGCCCAAGGCCTGTTCTCGTTCGTGTTGTGCTGTGCCTCAGGCTACCGGGGCCTACTGGAAGCTTCCTGGGACTGAACACAGGCAGGCCACTTCGATATAGCAAAGGGCCTGCCTCCACATTGGGCATTCGGGTGCTGGCTGGATGCTACGTAAGTGCTGCCGCGCTGTAGCTCGTGCCACTCACGCGCTCACGGGCGAGCAGGAAGGAGCAAGCAGCCATAGTCGAGCTGCGCTGCTGTAAGCTGGGTGTGGCGCAGGGTGGTCCTTGGGTGCAAGTGAAATCTGTGTGTTGGGGAACGAGGTTGTGAGTAAGGCGAGACACACTCTCACGCGCAGGCACAGACACACTTACACTTACACACACACACACACTTACAAACACACACATACACACACACACTTACAAACACACACATAAACAAACACACACATATACATACACACACACACTTACAAACACACACATACACTTACAAGCACAGACACACACACACACACACTTACAAACACACACATACACA